AGCACTATATTTAACCCTGTAACTTTCCAAAACACCATAAAACCTGTACATGGGGGGTACTGTTTTACTTGAGAGACTTGCTGAACACAAATATTAGTGTTTCCAAATGGTAAATTGTATTACAATGATGATATTTTTAGTAAAAGTGACGTTTTTTGCATTTTTCACACATGAATGGCACTTTTATTGTTGTAATACGTTTTACTATTTTGAAACACTAATGTTTGTGTTCAGTGAAGTCTCCCTAGTATAACAGTACCTCCCATGTACAGGTTTTATGGTGTTTTGGAAAGTTATAGAGTCAAATATAAAGCAGATTTTTTTTTTTTTTAATTCTTAATTTCTCACCTTTTTTTACTTTATGCATAATAAATTATGTTTCATATATGATTAGTTGACGATAAATTAAAGCCCTGTTTCTCCTGAATAAAATGATATATAATAAGTTTGGGTGCGCTTAATATGAAAGAGGTGAATTACGGTTGAACAGACATTTAGTCAAATTCCAGTTTTTGTTTACATTTTGTTTTGATCAGAACGTGTACTATTGACTCCATCCTGAAGGGGTTAACATGATCAGTTTTTAGCAGCAGCATCTCCAGTCATCAATAAAAGTGAAATTAAATTGCAGATATAATCATGACAGACTCAATATATTTTCACCTAACTTATCATTAGTATCTTTTGATTCCAACATATTTTTACATATTTTTTTTTGTTTCTCCACAAATCCCAATGGACCAGCCTCCGCTATACCCCACTCCCTCTAGCATGTAAGCTCATTGAGCAGGGCTCTCAATCCCTCTGTTCCAGGCCCTGCGAAGATAGCACAGCTAAGCAGACAAGGGCACATGTATGAGTATGGGGATAGATGCGTGTGAATAGTTGTGTATGTATGTTGGGTGGGGTTATGCAGTGTGTGAATTGTGGTGGGATGGTCTTACCTCAGTGCCACTTGGGATTCGGGCCAGCAAGCAGCTTCCTGTCCTCTGTCTGCTCCTGTTTGTCTTGGGCCTGTAGTTTATTTTGTGGGAGAGAGATGGATGTTGAGGCTATTCTGGCATTCCTTAGAGCTGCTGCTGCGCTGGATGGTGGCCGGCTCCTTCTTGAGCAATATGCTCACCTCAACACGGATATATCTGCCGGCGTGGTTTCCCCCGCAGCCAGGCTTCTTAAAGGACCTCCCCTGTGGCCACTGTGCCCGCCCATTGCTTGGGTTGCAGCCTCAGGTGATGGAGCTCTGGCCGCAGGCATTAGGAGAGAGTTGGTGCGTAATGGTGGGGCTGAGAAGGGCCGACATGGGGTACCGCCGTTGAGGTTTGAGGGGAGGTCTGGGTCTGGGGCCTTCTCTGCCAGTGGATCTCTCTCCCCTGTCCCCCCTTTCATTCCTTTACCCCCCCATTCCCTGGACTTGCTCCTTTCTTCTGCCCTTCTCTCTTCTGGTGGGCCTCCCTTCTGGTTCACCATAGGGTGTTTGAGCAGGATACTGCCAATTTATTTCGGGTGGAAGGGGTGCACTTGACAGAGGTTGGGCTCGACCTCTTTAATCTCGCCCTGCAGGAAGCAGTGGAACAGGCCTTGTGTGGTTTGGGTGGGCCCCCCTGCTGATTTTAGGCTTAAACTAGTGGGGTTGTGGCCTGGGGTTATGTCCTTGCCAATTCGGTTTGGGGGGCTATGTCAATATGTGGAATGATGTGGTCAAATTTCAGGTCTCAACCTCCCCTGCTTTAACCCCTTAAGAACACATGATTCCCTTTTATTTCAGAAGATTGGTCCTTAAGGGGTTAAAGGGTTAACTTTAGGTTACCTGTTTGGAAGTACCCACTGAGCGAGGAAAAGGTCAGCTGGTGGTAAGCATTGAAAGGAAAGCAATTTATAGTCGAGGGGGGAGGTGAGAATATGTGGTGCATAGGCACATGGTCAGTATATTGGCAAGGACATTGTGTTTTTACTGTATGACACTATGTGTTAAGTTATATGCTAAGTTATGGTTATTTATGTATGAAGTTTTTGTTTATAATAAGAAAAAATTATGTTTAAAATAAATTATGGATGTGTTATGCAGTATTGTATCATACGTTATAATAAATGCTGTCGCCTGTTTCATCCAAATTACGTTGTCTGCCATTATTCGGGGTAAGTGGGATAGGTTTCTGTTTTTCTCATTCTGCATCACAATTCCCCTCCACGTACATAATACATGTGTGTCCAACTTGTCTGGTTACAATTACATGTATGTTAGTCCACCCATTGTACAGTGCTGTGGAATTTGTTAGCGCTTTATAAATAATAATAATAATACCCACTGTAGAGCACTGTAGAATATGTTGCTGCTCCAAAAATAGTCGTAATAATAATTAATAATAAATAGATTCACTTTAAAAGGGAACTGTCACTTCCAGGCCATATTAATATTACGTCTACTTATTCCTTGTAGTTAGCTATAACTATGTTTGAGAAATCTGAAACAGAAAAGTAAATGTAGAAACCCACAGTACTGCATTTACCTCTATCCTGGAACAGTGCGGCTCCATCTTGGCTTCCTGCCAGTGATGGTTATAAATATTGTCCTTTCCTGACATAGAACATAGCTAAAGGAAGGGGAGAAACATATTTTATTTCTCCTCATTTGCACTGTGTACCCTGGGTGTGCCTGTCGTTAACAGGATTGTCATATTCATTGCTAAATCTTTAACTCCTTAGTGACCAGACCGCTTTTCAATTTTCTTACTGTATCCGCACATTATATACCGTTTTTCTCGCCAATAAATGGTCTTTCTAAAGATACCATTATTTTCATCATATCATATAATTTACTATAAACATTTTTATAAAATATGATGAAACTATTTTAAAAAACACACTTTTTCTTATTTTGACCCCCAACATCTGATACGCATCTACAACCGCCAAAAAAACACCCATGCTAAATAGTTTCTAAGTTTTGTCCTGAGTTTAGAAATACCCAATGTTAACATGTTCTTAGCTTTTTTTGGAAAGTTATAGGGCAATAAGTACAAGTAGCACTTTGCTATTTCCAAACCATTTTCTTTTCAAAATTAACGAAAGTTACATTGTAACACTGATATCTGTCAGGAATCCCCGAATAACTCTTCACATGTATATATTTTTTAAAAAGAAGACAACCTAAGGTATTAAACTTGGTGTATTTTGACTCTTTTCATGCAACTATTTTACCACCAATCTATGCCAAATTTAAAAAAATAAATAATAATTGTTGATTTTTTTTTGACACACATAGCAATTTAAGAATACATGTACTGAGAACTTTAAGGGTTACTGCCAAAGAACACTGGAGAGCAGGGCCAGACTGGTCCACTGGGAAACCGGAAAATTTCCAGGTGGGCCGTCAGCACCTGGGGCCAGACAGACAGCTGGGAGTGCTGGCGGCCGCAGGGGGTGCTGTCTGTGCTGGCGGCCGCAGGGGGAGATGTGCTGTCTCTGCCCCCCATCCTCGCGCGCTACTTAATGAGACCGGGGAATATGACATCATCGGTCTCATTAAGCTGCATGCTGGGGAGCAGAGACAGCACAGCAGCCCTTGCGGCCGCCAGCTCACCAAGCTGTCTGCCCTGCATGAGCCCCTGGCCGGTCACCCACAGGTAGCAATAATCTGTGTCAGTCTGTCAGTGTATGTGTCTGTCTGTCAAGGTGTGTGTCTGTCTGTGTCATGGTGAGTGTGTCTGTCATGGTGTGTGTCTGTCATGGTGTGTGTCTATCTGTCATGGCGTGTGTGTCTGTCATGGTGTGTGTGTGTGTCTGTCTGTCTGTGTCATGGTGTGTGTGTCTGTCATGGTATGTGTGTCTGTCAAGGTGTGTGTGTCTGTCTGTCATGCTGTGTGTCTGTGTCATGGTGTGTGTGTCTGTCATGGTTTGTTTGTGTGTGTCTGTCATTGTCATGGTGTGTGTGTCTGTCTGTCATGGTGTGTGTGTGTCTGTCTGTGTCATGGTGTGTGTGTCTTTCTGTGTCATGGTGTGTGTCTGTCTGTGTCATGGTGTGTGTGTCTCTGTCATGGTCTGACTGTGTCATGGTTTGTGTGTCTTTCAAGGTGTGTGTGTGTTTGTCATGATATGTGTGTGTCTGTCAAGGTGTGTGTGTGTGTCATGGTATGTGTGTGTCATGGGGTGTGTGTGTGTGTCTGTGTGTGTTTAAAAGTAGTGTTTTTGCTAACCTTTTCTTTTCCCCACGCTGTGCTGGTCTCCCCTCGACTGACCCTTCCTCTATTGCTGAGATCATCAAGCTTGATGATCTCAGCCAATCCAATGCTTTGCCATAGGATTGGCTGCAAAATGCTACACCAATCAGCATCTCCTCATAGAGATGCATTGAATCAATGTATCTCTATGGGGAACATTCAGCGCCTCCAGAGCGTGGAGGCCCTGAATGTAGGTGCTGCACACTGTGCTGCACTGACACAGGAAGCACCTCTAGTGACCGTCTGAGTGACTGTCACTAGAGGTGTCACCAGGAAACAATGTAAAAACTGCCTTTTCTGTGAAAAGTCAGTGTTTACATTGAAAAGCCTGCAGGGACAGGCTGTAGACACCAGAACCACTACTTTAAGCTGTGTGCGTGTGCGCCTGCTGGTGAGTGAGTTTGCTTGCATGTGTGTGTGTGTGTGTGTGTGTGTGCCTGCTAGTGAGTGAGCTTGTGTTTTTATGTCAATGAGCTTATGTATATCAGTGAGATTGTTTGTCTATGAGGCTGTGAATCAATGAGCTTGTGTGTGTCAGTGAGATTGTCTGTGTCTGCATGTGAGTATGCTTATGGTATAATTACATGTTTTACTCTGAAAGGACCAATAATTTATATTAGAAAAAGCAATATATATTTGATATATATATATATATATATATATATATATATATATATATATTATTCAATCATTTGGGGTGGCAAGACTTAGCCTTACATATTACATGCGACAATATGTTTGTGTGACTGCCAGTGTATGTCTGTTAGTGAATGTGCGTCTGTCAGTGAATGTGTGTGTGTGTCTGTCTGTCAGTGAATGTGTGTGTGACACACACATTCACTGACAGACAGACAGACACACACACACACACACACACACACTCACTAACAGACATATACTGGCAGACACACACATTCACTGAGACACACACCCTGATACTGACAGAATCACACTGACACTCACAAACTTTGCCTCCCCTGTGGTCCAGTGGCTCTCATGGGCTGTCTCCTGTGTTGGCTGGCAGGCAGCTGCTGGGCTCCAGTGCTTCCTGTTCAACTCCCTCGTGCGCCACTTAGTGATGCTAGGAGCCAGAGGGACGTCATATTCTGACTCCGGATGCGCGAGGGAGCTGAGCTCAAAGGATGGCTGTCCCTCGCAGCCAGGGCTGGACTGGGAATGAAAAGCAGCCCTGGAAAAAAATTCTATACCAGCCCCATAATGCATCGCGCCAGCACAGTGTGAAAATATGGAAGTGGGAAAAAAAACCTTAAAACTAAAAACTATCACTCAAACATGAAAGAAAGCACTCACAGGGCTTCAAAATAAAGCAGAGCAGATTTATTGTAAGCAGACGCAGACGTGCATTTGCATATAATCAATGTTTCAACTACATTGACATATTAAGAATAGTGATGTCGCGAACCCGAAATTTTCGGTTCGCGAACGGCGAACGCGAACTTCCGCAAATGTTCGCGAACCGGCGAACCGCCCGAAACGCCATTGACTTCAATGGGGAGGCGAATTTTAAAACACACAAGGACTCTTTCTGGCCACAATAGGGATGGAAAAGTTGTTTCAAGGGGACTAACACCTGGACTGTGGCATGCCGGAGGGGGATCCATGGCAAAACTCCATGGAAAATTACACAGTTGATACAGAGTCTGGTTTTAATCCATAAAGGGCAGAAATCACCTAACATTCCTAAATCACAA